CACTGCTTGGATGGCTTTAGAGACTGATCAACTATTACACCAAGTTCCTTTTCTTCCATAACACTGTTAAAGTTATTATGAGATCACCCACACCTACAGAGAGAACTTTTTAACAAGTCTTTTATGGGGCACCTTGTAAAATATTTTGTGAAAATCCAGGCACACCAAATCCACACCTGTCCCCTTATTGACATAAGCAGTAACCTCTTCAAATAATGAGGCAAATTTCTCCCCTAGCAAAACCATGTTGACCATTCAACAAAATTTTAATCTTTTTTTACATGACTTCTCAAAATATCTTTTATCAGAGTTTCAAAAACGTTTCCCACCACTTACATAAGAATAAGGGGCTTATAATCAACGAGACAATTTTTATCATATCTCTTGAAAAGAGGAGTAACATCAGCCAATTTCCAATCTTCTGTCACGTTACCTTTTTCAAAACCATTGGGTAAATATGAATTAACCGAGGGAGTCTTATCATACTTTATACTTTCCCATTTTTTCTTAACAAGCTAAGTTGCTCAGTGGTATGTCTGTAGACTTATAATGCTAAGAATAAAAATTGGGTTTTGATACTTCTGGTGGGCACAGCACATATAGCCCATTGTGTAGCTTTGCATTTAACTTCAAACAAGCTCAGAATTTGTGATCATCTTGTTTCCATCTATCAATTATTCAAGATGAGGAATATTGTTTAAATATTCATTAGTAAAAACTGAAGGAAAGGTATAATTTAATAACCTAGCCATCCTATAATCATTAGATATTAATCTATCATCTTTCAAAGGCCCTACTCCCATTCTCATATTATGCTTACATTTTTAACTTTTCTATTTGTTTTTACATTTTACACTAACCTTTTTTCATATGCTCTTTCTGATTTCCTAATTTTTCATTTGACCAACTCTCTTGAGATTCTATAATCTTGTAAATCTCTCATCATTGTTCTACAAGTTGCTTTTTTTTTATTTGGAGCTAAAATCTCAATATTATTTATCTCCATATGCAGCAAAACATCAAATCTAATTGAGTAATGGTCACTTGCACCCACATGTTCCCTGATCCCTACCCCATCAATCATTTCTTTATTAGAAATTAATAGGTTCTCTAACCAATTGTTGAAGAAAACTAAGTAATTTCTGTCATCAAAATTGTCTCCAAGTGTACCACTTGTAACACTGATCCATTGTGACTTTATGATGGCTGATATTGCCAAGTTTTAAGGAACGTTTTATTTAAACTTGTTTGTGGTGTGCCTCCTCCACATCACATACAGTTGGCTAATTTACTAGTGTAGACTAGTAGCAATTAATTTATGAATGTTTACTCTGAAGTAGTAATGTTTTTCTATATTAAGTGAAGTGTTTACATTTATATTAGTTTGTTATTAGTAATGTTATGTTTTTGACTGTAACATATGTCTCGTTAGCATATTAAGAACTTGTTTTTCCATATTATTAACAATAAATTAAACCTTACTTAATTGTCTTTTGTTTTTCTTACTTCCTCAGTAAACACACTTTTAGTCTATAAGGTTTAAAGAAGCATTGTTACACCTTCTAGTTCTAATGTGTGTCTGGGTTAGAAATGTTAAGATGCAGCAAAGTGAGTTTGCGCTGTATTTCTTGAGTTTTCCTTCATCTGTTATGTCTTAAAGCTCTGCAGGTCTTCTGCCTACATCAGAAGCCGTACAATAAAAAATTCCAAGCATTAAATCCAAGAAGAATAAACAGTCCGAAGGCTGGTTTGTAATCTCATTTCACTGTAATTCTGTAGGCTTCTTTCATCTACTCTTATTTACAATGAGTGTTTATTGCACTGTAAGCATTTATGAAATCTTCATATAAAATCAATGATATGATAGTTTGTGGAGTGTAAACAAGTGGAAGATGATAAAAAAAGTAGCTAGCAAACTGAGAATGAAAGCATGTTGCAAGAGCCCATCCGACTTGGGTAACTTGAAATTTTTTAAAATATCGTGAAATCTCTTTCAGACAATATCTTTCTGAAGGAAGTCTCATCCTTTCTTGTTCTTACGAGCTGAAAATCAACTCCAGTCATGTCGAGAGGTTATTCAGATGGGTTCCAGTATTCCTCATACCAGAAAGGAGAAACCACTGGAGGTATTATGTGGAAATTAAACTATTCAATAAATACTAATGTGAATTTCACTTGGCCATTTAATTATGATGCTCAGTTATTATAGCTATTAATAATCATGTAATAAAAAAAGTTTAATTATATAGTTTATGTCTATTAAAATTTGGTAGTTTTAAGTTAGGTTCTAGTTGCTAAAAGAAAATATGTATATTTGTTTAAAAAATGAACTTAAAAAGCCATCAGTATGTTATTTTGTTGAATAACTTGTAGCTTATATTAAGGATTTTTATTGGATATTATTTAATGCAGACATTTAATCATGAATTATGATTGTGGTATCAGAAGAAATTGTGGCTGAAATATTTTGTTGTGATACATAGTATGATTGCTTAGTTATTGAAACATTATTGATTTAAGAAATGAAAAAAAACTTAAATATTATAACAACACTCTAAATGAAGGTCTAGAGCTCTCACCACAGTAAAACTGAAAGGTTCAAAGCAGATTTTGGTGACTGTAAAAACATGAGTTGCAATAAAGTACAAAATTTTAATATTATTGGAATGTATTGCATCATTTTCATTAGGTGTTCAAACAGTATAGTTCTGTTTGGTGTTTTGGAAAACATATATATTAATAACACACTGTATGACACAGAATGTCAATATTTTCACAGGAAAGAGTTCCATATGGCACCCCTACCCAAAAATTGTAGAATTGCCTGGATAAAAAAGATTCTGAAAAGGGTTTATTTTAAAGGGCGTATTAGAAAATTGGGGCATGGCTTTGACAAGCATTTGTGTGAATACATGTGGAGAACATTATATTCAGATAAAAATAGCCTTTTATGATGCCTTAATACAAGACATTTGTAAAGTTTATCCCCAAGAAGATTGTACATCTAATTAATGAAGTAAGTG